TATATATATATATGTATATATATATATATATATATATATATATATATATATATAAGCATTGACTTCATCTTTACATCTGATAAACTCCAGCAAACAAATGCAGGCGTATGTATATATTTATTTTGTATCCCTGATGAGAAGATGCAGGTGAACGTGTGCAGCTGTTCAACTGTCTATACACTTCACGTATTACTAAACTATACTGTGTTCATCTGCATAGAAACCTGAATTGAAGGCTGAGGTGTACGTACACCTCAGCCGCATAGAAACATAGGTTAAACGCTGGGGTGTACGTACACCTGAGCATTGACTCACACTCAACCCTCACCACCAATGCAGCCGCAGTGTATTGAACTGTGTACAGTTGATATATATGAATATTCACTTAGTAAGATAAGTGCGTGTGTGTGTTTCTATTAACTAAAGACACCGAAAGATAGATTAAGAGGAATAAATATAATTATTGAAGAGTATAACTCTATAAAATAAATAAAAAGATATAATTATCTTTTTCTTTTTTTTATATATTTGTATATGAATACATCAATGACGCTAGCCAGCCCCAAGCCCAGTGTCTAGAACAGAACTGCAGTGTATACTGAGCTCGATCTGTTGNAATGACGCTAGCCAGCCCCAAGCCCAGTGTCTAGAACAGAACTGCAGTGTATACTGAGCTCGATCTGTTGCGTAAATAAATTAATTTTTTTGTTTTATTTATAATTATATATTAATTTTACGAATTCCAGATTATATATATATTCTTTTGACGCTATATGAACTCAACATCCTAGGGCTGTGCACTACACCCCGCGCAGCAGCACGGGCTGCGCAGCAGCCGCTTGGGGCTGTATGCATTGTATCTGTTGGTATTTTTGTGATGTTTTTGTTTCTGTTTATATGTTTCTGATGTTTTTATTTTTTTAATTATAATTGAATTTATCAGGGGCGCAGAGAGCCCTTGCATCCCCCCCATAGGAAAGCACATGCCCCACATGCAGCAGCACCGGCCCATGGCTGCTGCTGCCGGATGCATGCGCGACCTCTCGGGTGTACGTAGAGGTGTTTTTGTATTTTCTTTCTTGTTATATACTTTCTTTTGTTTGGTTTTTACCTTTTTTTTACCTTTTCAGAGAGTATATTCTTGTTGACTCGTGTCAGAGGAGCGGAGCGGGGGGTCGGTCCCCAGCAGCAGCAGCACCAGTCGTAGCAGCAGCAGCAGCAGAACAACCACCATCAGCAGCAGCAGCATCAGTATCAGCAGCAGCAGCAGCAGCAGCAGCAGCAGCTACAAACTTCAGAGGGCCCCATGACGTCCGCCTCCCCCTCAC